CTTCTGGCCTGTGGCTTTCTGGGCAGGAACCTTCTGGGCTGCAGCCTTCTTGCCTGCAGTGGTCACCTTTTTTGCTGGAACTTTAGCAGCAGCCGCTGCAGCAGCAGCAGCACCCTTCGCAGGTGCTTTTTTGGGAGAAGCTTTCAGAAGAGCTGCTTTTTGAAGCTTCTAACTTCATTCTTGATTATTCTGTTCCTCATTTTCTTTGCCTTCATAACTTTAAAACGATCAAAGTCTGTCATCTTAGCTTTCCTTTCTCTGGCTTCAATTTTCTTGGCCCATCTTGTCGCTGCCCATTTTGTATTTATATCTGCCTTCTGCCAGGCTTGTCGGACATACTTCTGGCGGGCACTGTGTGGGAACTTGAGGATGAAGTCAGTCAGTTGCATGCATTTGAAAGGCATGGCCTGTCTTCTTACCTTAGTGCAGGGTCCATCAACCAAAGCCCTGTTTTGATCAATAACATCTACAATCGCTACAAGCTTTCCGGCGTGAGGCCCAAAAGAGACGTAGGCCACTCGGCCAACCTCCACGAAGCGCCTGAACACCATGTCTGCGGCGTCCGGCGAGAAGAGAGAGACCTTGCTCAACCATGCGCATGTGTAGCTGACGCCCCACAAGTCTCTTTATAATAAAAGGTTGTTTTTCCTTCTGGATAGATACCCAGTAATGGGATTGCAGGATCAAATAGGAGGTCTAGGTTGAATTCTTTAAGTTTTCTCCATACTTCCTTCCAAAAAAAGGTTGTATTAGTTTGCAGTCCCACCAGCAGTGCAAGAGCGTTCCTTTCTCTCCACATCTGTGCCAGCATCTGTGGTTTTGAGATTTTGTGATATAGGCCATTCTCGCTGGGGTTAGATGATATCTCAGGGTGGTTTTGCTTTTCTCTAATAATTAGGCACGATGAGCATTTTTTCATATGCTTAGTAGCCATTTGTCTATCGTCTTTAGAGAAGATTCTATTCATCTCTTTTCCCCATTGATATATGGGATTGTTGGTTTTTTCTTGTAGATTAGTTGAAGTTCTGCATAGATCCTGGTTATTAGACTTTTGTCTGATTCAAAATATGCGAATATCCTTTCCCATTGAGTAGGTTGTCTATTTGCTTTGGTTCTTATCTCCTTGACTGTACAGAAACTTTTCAGTTTCATTAAGTCCCATTTGTTTATTATTGGTGTTGTTGCTAGCACCATTGCAGTCTTCCTCATAAAGTCTTTCCCCAGGCCAGTATCTTCCAGTGTTTTTCCTATTCTTTCTTTGAGGATTTTTATTGTTTCATGCCTTAAATTTAAGTCCTTTATCCATCTTGAGTCAATTTGTGAGTGGAGAAAGGTGCGGGTCCAGTTTCAGTCTTTTACATGTGGATATCCAGTTCTCCCAGCACCATTTAGTAAATAGGGAGTCTTTCCCCCAGTGGATGCTCTTGTTTGGTTTATCGAAGATTAGGTGACTGTAAGTTGTTGGTTTCATTCCCAGGTTTTCTATTCAATTTCACATATCTATGTCTCTATTTTTGTGCCAGTACCATGTTGTCTTGACCACTATGGCCTTGTAGTACAGCCTAAAATCTGGTATAGTGATACCACCAGCTTTGTTTTTGTTACTAAGAACTGCCTTATATGGGTTTTTTTCCACAAAGCTGTGGGTTTGTCATAGATAGCTTCAAAAAAATGCAGAATCATTTTTTCCAAGTCTTGAAAGTAGGATGTTGGTATTTTAATAGGGATGGCGTTGAATTGGTAAATTACTCTGGGAAGTATAGA